ACATTTACTGTTTTCCTATAAAAAAATTGTTTTAATTATTTATTTCTGCTTGGATTGTTCACATTCAGATTCATTTTGATTTCCTTAATTGCACTTTCCTTAAATAAAACGAAAGTCTAAAGGTCACAGTCTTACGTGTTAATGACATTTTAAATGAAGTTATACCCGCTCTCTGTAAAACAACTTAAAATTATTTATATTTCATTCATACTAGGAGGAGATACTCTCTGTTCGCCTAACAGTGGACTAAACCTCCATTGTATAAATTATATAACTTTTCTTACTCATCGCTCAAATTATAAAACTGTAGTTTTCATGTATTATGCAGTTATATTTTTTTCTGTATATTGTGAGCAAAAAAAAAAAAAAAAATTTCAAGTATTTATCTCCACATTTAAATTTGTACTTCAATTTAGAATCTCCTTAAAAACAGTGTTCCTGATTACCTTTTCCTCTAAATTGCATTGCATTTCAATTCCATCTTTTGCTTCTGCAGCTCGACAGAACCTCATGCAATTGTCCGTGAGTAAATATTGTTTTCTTCAATGCTACGAATAAACCGACTTGTTTAATACTCTGCCTCTGTGATTTATTACTGATCATGGCAAATGCCATTTTTACAAGGAAATTCGTACGCTTGGAAACGAATGGCATATCACAGTCCCCTCGAGTGTCCAGTGTGATTCTTGGTATACATACCATTTTGTTTTTTTTTATCTCCTGATAAAATTTCGCACTTCAGTATATTCTGAATATTTTCACTACCCTTCTTGTACCATTACACAGTCCATCAATCTTACACAAATTTCTTAAATGCATGGCGATACATCCCAATTTCAAATTCAGTTATCGGGAGGGCATTCCCGATGGAGTTGGTAATGATAGATATTCAGGCGAATACTATGGCATGACAAATTTGTAATATTGAACAGGACTTACTGCCTTTTTTTTAAAATTGTTCTCGTATGTGAGATATGGAAATAAATTTATTACACCATTCTAAAAAATGTTTTATAGATAGAGAGTGAAAACTTTGGTGTGTAATCTACGTTATAGTACTAGTTATACATATATATAATCATCTAAATTTAAAAAATATTTTTACATGTAAAAAATGTATTATGGTTAATGCAAAAAGTAAGACGAATCTAATATTTTTTTATGTTGATATATTGGATATAACTAGCCCTCATTTCACAAAATATAGATGAGTAAGATAATATGTTGTTTCATTTAACCCTTTATGTACCGCATTATGATTTACTGCAGTTTTTTTCATGCAATTTTTTTTTGAATCGCTACATTGAAAATTAAGGGATATACGTAAACAAAATACTCAACTTTGGGAAATTCGATTCGTTAGAGCTAATTAATTAAAGATATTCCACTGTAAAATTAATTATATACACTGTTCACTTAAAATAAATAGTCAAATCGTTTTCTAAGGTCTTCATTAACATACAAAACAAAATGAGAACTTACCTTTTGACATTAACTACTTTTTCAGAGCAAAAATGACAATCTACGCAATCCGATCACAATGTCAGCTGAAAACTCAATTTCTGTTTTAAAACTATTTGCCTTCCCTTCTAAAATACTCAACATAGAACCCGTGCTGTCATATCTTGAAAGAGGGAATTTAAAAGAATATTGCTAAGTATCGTCAGAATATTCGTAAAAATGGTTATTCTATGTAATCTTAAAGTGAATGGTACTTATAAGTACCGTCGGTAGGTAAAGGGTTAAATTCTCTTGGGCGTAAAAATTATGGTAACCATTTATTTAATACCATGAAGAGCGACGTTCAAATAAAATTTTTGTTAAATTGATAACTAAATCCTGTGTGTGTGTTTTAAAAATTTATTTTTCAACAAAAATTAACAATTAATCAATAATGAATTTTTCCTTATTTCCACCATTTTCCCGAAATTCAACAATATTTTCAATACCTCGTTCTAAGAAATCATTCGATTTCGAGTCGGAAAAATTTACCCTACCAAGCTCTCAATTTTGCAACTGTATTGAAAAAAACTGCGCCTAGCATTTGAAAGAGACCTAAAGTTACTTACATCCAAGAGTTGAGTTGTGACGAGCAAACAAAGCAGCGGAGTTTGTGGCTCATTGTTGCAGTTAAGTCCGCGAAGAATTAAGATTAAGTTCAGTTGAGTGAAAGTTAAGAATTTCCTGAATATATTCCTGTCACCACAAGAAAAATAACTGGATTAGAGATCCATTTGGAGTAGCTGTTTGTAAACAGGATGGTCTTGCATTAGTTGAAGATCAGCTGATGGAGCTTTTAAATTGATTTATGTGCAATAGTTTGGGCTCACTTGCCGAAAAAGTTTGCCCAGAAGTCCACGAAAGTTCTGATGCCTTTCTAAACTATTTATTTATGTAGAAGAATGGTTTCAGTTCTTTATCTCAAAAATAAGTACAGAAACCGTCCGGAAAGCGCACAACCGAAATTGAGACCGCTTATTTTAAATATTACCCCTGAAATAACAGCACTTGTTATTATCTGAGCTTATCAGCTTGTGACGGCTCTATCCGCGATCTTCTTACTAACTGTCCTCTTTGGGAATTTTTTGTCCTTAAAAAATTATTTTATTAGAAAGCTTCCTCCGCGCGAAGAAGAAAACGTGAACATGCAAATTATGACTGCTACATATAGTCTAAGCTTTCAGGTTAGAGAGAGAGAGAGATGTAGACTTACTAGCGGAGCAGTGATTAATCAAATTTAAAGTGTGACGCAGATATTTAGTATGTCAATTGTAATCATTAAGGTGATGATCTATCACTGGAGGTTGAATCTTAATTAGATAAGCTAGGAAGAGTTAGAGTAATTGAAACGAAGTGTTACAAGTAATTAAAGTCTTCTCATATCTCGCTTACCTCGTTAATTGTCTTTAAGTTGATTAATTGAAGGCATCTCTTAGCTTTGATGGATCGAACTTGTGTTGTGGTTTGTGCTGTAAATAAATTAAGTGATTTTGAATATGGCTAGTTTTTTCTTTCCCTTTCTCCCACATCTTTAGGCGCCGAGGCAAGATCCTTACAAGCTTTATACTGTAGTATTTGGAAATCTGTCGCCCAAAAACTTATTTGTCTGCAGCTTAAGCACGATGTCAACGGAAACTAACAAATAAAAAAAAGGGTTTTCGTTGGAAATTTTTAAATAATCCTGTAACATTACACGCCTACATTTCACTTTGCGTTGAAAGTTTAGAAATTTCACTAAACATTTGTATTAGATATATACCAGTTGATGACGGTATTTAAATAACTTCAAAATCATTCAGATAAAAGCTATTTGCAAAAGGGGCACCCATTTCACGTTTATTGACCGTCACTTTTGTGGAAATACGGATCTAAACAAAAGAATAGTGCCCGCCGCTTTCCTAAATCGATTCTAGTAGTCCAGACTTTCAGAGTTAAAAGAAAGAAGAAATAAAAAGTCTGACTTGTTTTCTGAATCGGAGCTCTTTTGTCGAAACAGATTTTCTGTGCTTTACTAAATCGCTAGAAAAAAAGAAAAAAAAAAGAGTGGAAATAAAATTTCTTTCTTTTTCTGTGTGTGAGAAAGAGAGAGCATTTAGAGAAGTCTTTTATTTCTTTCAATTAAGATAAATCTAAAAGGCGGCTTTCCTTTTGTTGCTGTTTGAAAAGAAATGGAAAAAGGTTTAATTTTCTTCTTTTGATTTAAAATGTTCTTTTGTTAAGAAAGTTTTATGTATTATTTTTTTTAAAAAAGTTCACTTTGCATTTACATTAATTATAAGAATGGTAATGAAGTTTTTGGTATTAATCATAAGAAACAAAAGGATCAAAAATAGTTAGGAAAATTGGGGATTTAATTTTGATCTCTGTTTCTCAATAAATGTTCTTCAATAAATATATTTAGAGTAATACATATATTTTATTGCGCTTTCAAGTGTTTTAAATATACAACAATCGAAATAAATAGGCCTACAAGCATATTAACTCTACATTTTAATACTTCTTTGAATAAAAGGAACAGAAATTAAAGTGCAAGTATAATCTATTTGTATATCTCTGAGCATAAGATATAAGTTACCCACACACTCATCAAGAGATCTGCGGACATATTAGATCAACTACTTGAAATTCGGCAAGCATGTTTTTTTTTTTGTTTAGTAGATTCACTGAAAATTTGTTTTGCGGAAATCGACTCCCAAGAGAAGGAATTCGGGATGGGGGGGGGGAGGGTTGTTAGTAATAAAAGTTATCGTTTTTGAAATAGACCCGAAATTTAGCAGGCCTATTTTTTTCGTTGTGTAGAGATAAACGAAGAATAAGTTAAGTGGAAATCGACTCCCAAGAGAAGTTGTGGAGACGTTATAAAGGTTTTAAACGTTTTATAAACGTTTTTGATTAGGCCACCAGACTTGTATATAGTACGCACGTTTAATGTGTTGAAAAGAGATCATTCAAAAACGAGTTTTACTAAAATCGACTCCTAAGGGGGGTTAAGAAGGAGTGTGCAGATAAAATAAAATGTTTTTGAGCAATTAGAACTACAGACTACAAATCTGGCCAGAATGTTTTTTTTTTGTTGCTGAGTTGAGATCCGATGAAAATGGGTTTTGTGGAAATAGACTCTGTAAAAGAGGGGTTACTAAAGCGTAAAAAATTATTATACTGGGGTGTCGTTCTCGTAATTCAAGTATGACTCTCGGTAATGATGATCGTCGCTAATAGTTTTTGTGCAGAGGAAAATTAATTCGAAGAGCACTATCAACACGTAAAACTACTCTGTTTTTCAATTCCTACTATTAGTTTACAATCTCCTTATATATGTATATCTTGTTCAATTTTGTAATCGTTAATAAAATACTTTCTATTCATCTATTCAAGTACAAATACATCTTTTTAAACTTGTAGTGGATGACACTTGATGTTAATACAGTTTTTGCAACTATTAATACATTAGTTAAACTCTAATATAAATTAGTTAATATAAAATTAGAATCGCTCGCTGTGTCCTTGTAGCGCAATGGATCGCTCGTTGGACTTCTGATCCAAAGGTGGTGGGTTGGAATCTCACTTGGGATGGACTAATTTCTGAGAATCTAATTTATGAATAAATATAAATAGTAACAAAGAAAAATAATAGTCCAACACCCTATATAGAAGGGAAAATGGAAAATTGCAAGGAAAATCGCTTTCTATTTTGCCTCTTAATCGTGTGATTTTGTCATATGATATACATATTTATATTAATTGAAATTATTTAATAAAAAGTAACAAAAAAATAAAAATATTCTTTGTTGACTTAAGTAGGAATTAATAATTTTTTTTTATATTACTTGTTATAGGTAACACATAAAAAAATCTATTGGAACGTACTTATATATATAAATATCTATAAGCTTAGACTAAGCGGGATAATTATATAGAAATTCCCACTTTATTAAAAAAAATTACTTAACTGATAGAAAAAATGCTTCATTCCTTATTTTTTTCAATTCCTACTATTAGCTCGCACTGTCTATATATTTATTTATTTATATATTTGTGTACTTATATATATATATTTATCTTGGTGGAATTTTCAATCTTTAATAAAATATATTTTAAAGCGCTGAATTGAGCTGAAATTTTATATACAGGATCATTTTGGATGACAATACAATAATTTAATGATAATTAATAAAAATTAATGGATTAAAACTCATTATTTAAAGAATTACAAATACAGCCACGTTGGCGACTTAGCGATCCTTTTGGCGACTTGTGTCAAAACTTGAAAAGGTTTTTTTCTCAAGTGTTAAAGCATTCAGTTGGACTGAAATTAAAAGGACACAATACGATACTTTAATGATAATTAAAAAAATTAATTACCTCTTCATGTTGTGATTCTGTCCTATGTATATACATATTTATATTAATTGTAACTATTTAATAAAAAGTAGCTAAAATAAAATTTTTCGTTGTTTATCTAAGTAGGAATGGACTTAAAAACTATTTTTTTCTATTACTTGTTTCTTTGGTGAATCATTGAGTGTCTAAAAAGCTCGTAAGATGCTCGTTTGCAGGGGGGTTAAAAAAGCCTCCAATGTAAAAGCGTTTTCTTGTCTTTTCTGTACGTGTGTCTGGCTGTGATTTTAATCCCAGGCCATTAAGGCGGGAGGAAGAAAGACATTTGCGTCGATAATGACGGTGAACTTAATATGAATTTAACACTTTTGTCGCGTCGTGTCCCATCAGACAGGAAAGGATTTTCTTGTAAGTTTCCATTAAGCGTGACCTGTGAGTAGGTAATAAAATTGCAATTAATTTTACATTGTTTTTAAAAACTGCGAATAGCCGGATTTATGCTCTTCTTTTTTGTTCTCTAAAATCAATTAGCAGTATGTTCCCGTTACATGCTTACGACCCCTACGAAACAGCTGTAGCTTAGTGATCAAGGCTACGGACTGGCGGGTGCTGTGCCATGAGTTCGAGTCTAGTCACGCTGAAGACCCGCTGTGTAGAGGGGATCGCTGCAAGTTAAATCTGTTGAGGTTTAAAATCCTCTTGATGATAGGATGTGGAAGTTTGGAGAGGGGTTTGCCAGTTTTGGTGTTGTGTTCCTGTCACTTGACCGTGGGCCACGGTAGCCGAGTGGTATAGGTATCGGATCGTGGCTGGCCTTGTCACGAGTTCGAGCCCAGTACCACTCAAGACCCGCCGTGCAGGGCAGGGATGCACGTTAAATCTGACGAGAGCTGAAACGTCCTCCCGTTGGTGTGGTAGTTAGGAGAGGGGGTGCCAGCTCAGGTGTCAGATCAGAATCAGAATTACGTGGTCCTTCAACAAAAGCCCTAGTGTAGTTGAACAGTACGACGTTAATATTCAATCAATCAATCGAGTCACTTGACCGTCGATCAGAATTACGAGGTCCGTCACCAATAGTTTTGGTGCAGCTTTATAGTGTAACATTGATATAACTCTCATTCACCCAACGAAACGATCTTAGTATAAGTCTCAAACAAAAATACAAAAACATTCAAATTAATATTATTTAAGGTATCCGACTACGTTCGGAAGCCTGATTTTGCAAAAGCGCACAAATGGATAATTTTCATGATGTTTAGTGTCACTAAGATTAGAATACATATATACAATTGTTTTAAGGACATTTTGACAAAAAAAAATTATTTAAATACGATATTTTGGCAGAAAATTAACTTAGAATAATTTGTATTCAAAATGCTGTCCTTTTATGAAAAATGCTTCTATTGTAATAATATTTTGCCTGTATAAAACTCAGACCTCTTTACAGAGGCTCAACTAGAATGTTTGAAATATATACTTTAGAAGTGGGTTTATCCATATTTTGCGACAACAGAGGGGAGCAATTTTAAGAAAAAAACTCTGATCATTATTTCAATGGATTGTAACTCTGAAAATAATGTGAATTTTTCAAAAATCCTAGTTGAGCCTCTGTATAGAGGTCTGAGCTATATACAGGCAAAATATTATTACAATAGAAGCATTTTTCACAAAAGGACATTTTGAAAAAAGGTTATTCTAAGTTCATTTTTTGCCGAAATATTGTATTTAAATAATTATTTTTGTCAAAATGTCATTAAAACAATTTTATACTTGTAGTCTAATCTAAGTGACACTAAATATCATGAAAATGATTCATTTATGCCTTTTTTTAAAATCACGGTTCCGAACGTAGTCGGATACCTTAAAACAAAAATAAGCCGTTGTAGCAACTAATGATTCAAACATTTTAATAATACTGTTGTAAGGATCTCCACGCCTAGAGATGTGAGAGAAAGGAAAGGAAGACATAGTCTTGTTCAAAGTCAGTTAATTTATTTGTAATACAATCAACAACACAAGTTCAAGCAATCAAAACTAAGAGATGCACCCAATTGAAGCAATCAGAAGCCCGAGAGTACTTCAATTTAAGTGCACTGCCTTCTTAGCTATCTAATCTCTATTCAATCTCCAGTGACTAATCGTCACCTTAATTATTACAATTATCAAATATCTGCGTTACACTATAAATTTGATTAACCACTGTTACGTTAGCAATCGATCCTAGCTCTCCCTCTCTGACTTGAGAGCCTAGACTTTATATAGAAGACTTAATTTACATGTTCACGTTTTCTTCAGAGGGTGCGTTCTAATACAATAGTTTTTATGGATCAGAGTTTCCCCAAGAGGGGTAAAATCCTAGGACAGCACACTGTTGTATTTGGCTCCAAGAATAAACCCGCGTTTTTCAAAATGGCGTCAGAGACGAAAAACGTCGACAAAACGTGGTTTCTAAAATGGACAACACAGGAAACATCAAATGAAAAATAAGAAATTAAATACAAATTTTTTCCGAATTTCGGATATCCATACCAAGATTCTTCAACCCTTTTTTCTAAAAAAAACAATCTTATTTTCTTTCCTTTTTTCAGAAGAAAATCCATTGTCTTTTTTTACGAAAACGGATTCTGCAAAAAAAACTGAAAACGTCGCTTCTAAAACGCAATAAAAGAAAAAAAGTAATGAATGTTTTTTGGTTTGATAAATAAATCTAAAATTTTTCAAACAAAATTTTTTTTCATATTAATCCCACCAAAATTTTAATCTCATTCACTAAAAAATTATTTTTTCTTACCTATTTCATTCAACAAAAAAAAAAAAAACTTTTCCCCTTGGTGGGGCTTCAAAAATTGGTTTCCCGAAAATACTTCTTTCAAATAACGGTCGGAAAAATAACCGCTGTTCAAATCCGAAAACTGAAAAAAAAACAAGTGGTTGAATAGGGCCACTTTTTTTGCGGGTTTTTTGTTGGCCAAAAAGTGTGCCCCTTTTAGGACCAATCCCCAAGAGGATTTGTTAATGAGAAGGATGCGGATAGAGCCGTCACATTGTGACGTTTGAGAAAAATAATGGTAGCGTGATATTATTAATTTAAATATTGGGCTTCTTTACGTCACAGCTATTACAGTATATACATTGAAATTATTAAAATGATTGGTTAGTTTGTTAGAGCTCACATTCTGTTGTTTGCGAGGGAAGGAAAATCCGTCCGTTCAAATTTTTCCCAAAGGTTTTCCTCTCTAGGGTCTCAAGGGGCGGTCGGGCCCCTTTATCCTCGAACTACATCCGGCGTTTGGGTGGAGTAAGGGGGTTTTTCACGGGGTTTAATGGTTGGGGTATGACCAAAGACAAGACCCGCAATATTTTAAGGATGCCCTGTTATCCTATCCAAAAAAAAACCGACTTTTTCAGTGTATGACGGGGAAAAAGTCAAAAAAAACTTAAATAATATATAGGGGAATTAAAGATTTTTGCCTGGTTTTTTTCATTATAAAAGTATCCGTTCAACTTAATAGTGTAACTTTAGTATCATTGGATAGGTCACAGTTTTAGAAGTTTTTTGTGCAGTATAAGGCTCGAATGCTTCTTCAAGAGTGACTAGGGGAAGCATTTGTAAGAAAGACGATTTTTTTTTTTTACCGAAATGTCGGTGATTCAAGAGTGATTTAGTTTCACAAAACGAAATAGCCCCATTCATGTTCAGCGTAAATTTCGACGTTGTATGGAAGCAAATATCTTGGTGCAAAATCAGTAAAGAGATGGTATGAAATGTCGCAAACAAGTTTTGTAAAAATTCTTCACAAAACGCTTAGGTTGCATGCATATAAAGTGCAAGATATGTTAAAAAACACTTAGTGGGAACTGAAGTATGTCTCTGAGCTAATCAGGAAGCACACGTTGAAATTTACTTAGGTAAATGGTCTTATGAAAAATTCATACCCAATAACACTTAAATATATCGAAAAACACATGTATAATTATAATGATTTGATCACAATAAATATTTATAATCAGGACAAGATTTTGGGATCACTCTGTATTAGTTTCTCCTCCAAAAAGACTTAAAAGTCGTAATAGCCTTTTATATACTGAATATTAAAATTATATTGAGAAATAAATTTACATTTTTCAAATACAACAATTTAAGAGAAAAGAAAATCTATCAGTATTTTTGATATTATTATACGTAGTGTGATCCAAAAGTTTAGGGATAAGGTGTAGAAAATTTTACCTTGAAT